CCTCTTTCAGTGATGCTCCTCTGAGTATGCCAACGAAGCGATCTGCCTGTATATTTGATTGAGAGTAATCGGGTAGAGAACGTATACGTGTAATTACATTAATCCTGAAAAAGTGCTTGGATGGTTCTGAAGTGTATTAAGAGCCGTCGTCTGTTACCAAAGTCTTCAAAACGCCGAGACAGCGGAACAATCCAGATAACTTGTTCACTGACTCACTGGCTGTGCAATTTGCCATAGCATAGATTTATGGCCATTTTATGAGTTCAACTATGGAAACCATTTTAGATTTCTGACACTTCCGGGCCAATAATCGTGCACCACAATAAAACTACCGACCACATAGCAACTTGGTAGATAGCATCCAATCTGCACTAATAAGGACGTGACACACATGACATTGATCGCCACCCAGTGATTAATCAATTGTGACAGCCTGTCTCAGTTTTTATGTGTGCCTGAAAATGAGATTAAAACTGAGAGAGTTGGAATGCTAGTTCATGCAGTTGCAAGTATAAGAAACCAATTGTACCGAATGAAAATTGACGTCGATAGGATTTCTTTCTAAAGACACTGCTTTGAGGCGATCGACGCTGATGCTATCGTTGGTTCGGTTCTTATCGATTATATAGTACTTAAGTTCGTGTTGAAGAACTTTGAAAGGTCCTTCGTATGCTGCTTCGAAAGGTCGTCCATGCGAGTCTCAACGTACGACATCGTAAGTCAGGTTGAACGAAAACATCAGTTGATTGAAGTCGAGTGGAAACAGGTTTAACTGAACCCATTGTGTTTGTAAGCCTGTTCGTGTAGGAGGTTACATCCATGTCCATTGAAGAATTCTCCTGGAAGTCGAAGTGTAGTTCCATAAACGAGTTAAGCCACAGTGTATCCAAAGTCAGCTTTCACTGCATTGCAAATACCTAGTAGGACGAGTAGTAGAGCGTCGGTCCACTGTGAAAAGTTTGCAGTTGATAGCGAAACTATTAGTTGTCGATGAAAACGTTCTAACAAACCGTTTGCTTGTGGGTGGTAGGCAGTCGTTCGGAAGCGAGTGATTCTTAAAAGTGTGGTCAGACAACGGAAAAGTTCGGATTCGAACTGACGTCCGCGGTCTGTAGTGATAGTTGAAGAGCAGTCAAAGTTTACTACCCATCGTTCGACAAAGGAGCGGACCACTGTTTCAACAGTGATGTCCTTGCTAGGTACTGCTTCTGTTCATCACCTTAGATTTTTGGAAGCCTACACAGGAGCGTGCCCACTCACTCACGTCTTTATTCATACCGGGCCAACAAATCCGTTCCGCTATAAGCTTGATGATTGCACGAATAATTGGATGAGAAAGTTTGTGCAACGTATTGAAGACGTTGCGTCGATAACTTTTCGGCACGATTGAGCCATCCCTACCTGTAGATGTGTCACAAAGTAAGGTTTCCTTACCTGTTCCCATCTGTTTGATGCGCAGTTTGAGGGTTATAGATGATAACTCGTGCTGAAGATCAGTGCCGTATTTTTGAAGCTGAGCGAGTCTCAGAAAGTCGATTCCTTGGAAACTGTTCAAGGAAGTTATTCGAGACAAGGCGTCTGCGACTACATTGTTTGCTCCGGAAATGTGTTGAATGTCTGAAGTAAACTGCGAAATATAGTCCAGTTGTCGAGAACATCGAGTTAAGTACTTGTCTGAAGAAGAGCTTAAAGAGAAGGTAAGTGTTATATGGTCAGTGAAAAGGGTAAATTCACGGCCTTCGATATAGTGTTAAAATGCCGTAAAGCACAATACATAGCTAGAAGTTCCCTAACGAATGTGCTATACCTCGATTCAGTGTCTAGCAACCGTCAAGAGAAAATGCCAGAGGTTGCCAGAAGTTGTCAACCCATTGTTGTGAGACTCCTCCGATTGCTGAGTCGGATGAGTTTACTGCGATACTATTGGGTGCTTCAGTGTCCTGATGAGCAAGTATTGTTGTTTGAGCGTTAAGTTCCTTAACTGTGGAGAATACTTTTCACGCGGTGTTGTCCAGCTTGATGAATTTCGCATTTCCACGAAGTTGGTCGGTAAGAAATTTCATAAGTAACGCGCATTTCGGTATGAATCGTCTATAGAATATTACAACGTCGTTAAACGTTCGCAGTTACTTGATGTTGGTCGGTTTTGGTTAATCCTGAGTGGCCGCCACTTTGATTCTAAGGGGTCGAATGCTTTGCGCATCTACAGTGTGTCCTAGGAAGTCTAATGAGTCGCTTTCGATTTGGCATTTCTGAATGTTAACAGTAATGCCCTGTTTTTGTAGTCGGTCGAAAACAAGATCCAGATGCTGGAGATGCGATTCTTTGTCCGGACTTGCGATTAGACAGTCGTCAACATACACATGTACGAAGTTGAGACCTCGAAAAACGTCGTAAAGTCCGAAAGGAGTTATGGTAGCTGTTTTCGGAATATCGTCAGTAGCCATAGGGATTTGGTTACACGCTTTAATCAAGTCGATTTTCGAAAAGACAGTTGTACTTTTCAAGTTAGCTGTCGAATCGTGAATGTTAGGCAACGGGTAACGATTGAGAGTGGTTTTCGCATTCGATCGCCGAAAGTCACAAGTTTCACGCCAATCGTTTCTGTCCTTTTTAGGGACCATGTGCAATGGAGATGCCTATGGGCTGTTTGACGGTCTTATGATACCTAAGTCTATCATCTGGTTGAACTCGCTTTTCTCCAACCTTAGCTTTTCGGGGGCTAGTCGGCGTGCTTTAGAGAATACAATTGATCCTGTAGTCGTGATGTGATGTGTAACGTTGCTGGTTACACACGATAGTTCCGGTTGCGTTTGATGAATCCCAGGATACTTATCGAGTAGTGGTTGATGAAGTGAGTCTATCGTATGCTTAATTGTGACTGGGGATAATCTGAAACCCGATAAAGAAGTTACGCAAACGGATAAATTAGTTTTTCCGTCTACTAGCCTCCGTTTGCGCGTATCGATGATGGGATTATGGTGTTGTAGAAAGTCCATACCAGTGATTGGCATAGAAACATCTGCAACAACGAAAATCCAGTGAATAGGTTTGCGTTAACCCACGTTAAGGTAAACGTACCTTTTGCCATACGTAGCGATAAGTTTTCTGATAGCCGCCTGTAAGTTTAAAGCCGATTCGTGAAGCCAGTCGTTAGAATTCGCTGGGAGAACGCCAACTTTTGTGCCAGTGTCGACGAGGTAGAGAACTCTCGTTGTCACATCTGTGACGTACAACGGACGGCTACGTTCGCCGGCCATGGTAGCCGTTAATGCGTGCCGACTTGAAATTTTCCCGAGTTGTTTTTCGTGTCGGTCGGTTTTGAGTTGGGAATATTGCAAGGTTTTCTGCAATTTCTGGAAGACTTTCCATACTGATTATGATACCAGCACCAGTCGGGGTTATCAGTCTCTCGTGGTTCAAAGACACATTGCTTACGTGAAGCGCTTCTTTGTGGGGTGTGTGACCGCTTACGGTCATTATGAAATTTAAGATGACGCGTAAGTGTATGACATAACTCTGTTATGTCATTCTGGGACGTTTGAGGCTTTTCTTTGACTGAAAAATTTCGACATTAGAAAATTTCGTGATTTCTAAAATGCGGTCGGCAGGTGCAGCCAGCTCGTCAAAGGCGTTGTTGCGAAACGAGACAAGCTCAGCTTGCACCTTTTGAGGAATTTTGGATAAGAAAAGTTGTTTAAATAGACCATCATCGTAGGTTCTTTGGCCGATAACCTCTCTCATTCGTTGCAACATGTCCGTCGCAGAACCGTGTTGCAGGTCGATTTTATTGAGGAGTTGGTCTAACGTTTGTCTATCGGTTAGGTCTCTGCGTTTAAGAATAGAACGTTTCAGCGTTCACAGACATCACTAGTAAGCATACTAAGTGTTACGTACCCGTTGAATTTGCTCGGTAATTCCTTGACTATTGCGAGGAATTGTGCACGTGTGCCGATCACGCCGTGCTCGGAAAGTCGGCTTCTACGTACGAGAACCCGGCTTCGATGTTGTCTGGCGAGAAGGGCATCAGTTGGAACGAAGGTGTGGACATAGTTTTTAGCTTAAGTACTTTGGGTGTCTGTTCAGTCATGGTGAAATATGAAGTACGAGAATGAACGAGGGAAAAATATATATACATCCAAAAACGCAAAAAGACATCACAATGTATAAAAAGATAATGATATACAGAACCCCTAAAAGGAACAGACTCACAGTTTGCCATTTGGTGTACCAGATCACATTAAGCTCACCAATTAAGATGCCACAGGTATTCGGAGTTTGAAATCACTTTAACCAGTAACATTTTCTAATATGAATCGTACTCAGCAAGTGAAATCAAAAGACAGAAACGAGGAGGTTCGAAGGTATATTTGACAGGATATAAATATATCGAGGATCGTCTGATCTAATCTGGCTAGCGATTGCATTAGATGTTGAGCACGTCGTTCCCACTCGTGATCTGGTGTGGATGCATGACTGAGCGCCTTCAGCTAGGTGAGTCCATTAAAACTAATGTGGTCAGCATCCAATGTCGAAAACCTACAGAGCTATTTATTTTGGTGATTTATTTACCTTTACAATAAAAATTTTGTTAGTGAAAAATCGTTAATGACACAAGGAAAATGTCTTGATCTGCGTTCGCTAAAGTATTGAAGCGTCTGAATAACACCGCAAGTCACGCCTAAAGCCTTTCAAGAGCTACTGATGTTCTGAAGCTCAAATAGTAAAAGGAGGGTTGAAATTTGGTTTATCAACCTCAACCAGTAGCAGACAAAATTGCTAGAATAACGCTAACCTGAAAAGTCGTCTTAGCTATTTAAACGATGTTTCAGGAGTTTCCACTAGAAGACTTACCTCATCTCAAATTAAAGACCCGAATTCCTTGGAAATCGTGAGGCCAGTACTCCTTTTGACAGCCAGAGCTTCAATTAACATGGTTTTGTGGAATGTCCAAACAATGTGAGAGGCCAAAACAACCAGTCGAGTGATACTTTGAGCAGATGCAACCTGACGTGAAACCTTTTCGACGCATTAGCTCGTTTCAAACATCTTGTATATGGAGTCGAGGTGAATGGCGTTTGAGCTCACTGTGGTATTCTGCCGCGCAGTTTCGAATTTCTTGTTCCACAGCTGTACAAATGGCATTAAAACGTATATCTAAAGTAAGAACGTGTTCAGTGTTTTGTGCAGCAGAATTGTTTTATTAAGGAGTTACAGGACTTAAGTGTAGATCCTCCAACTCAGTGTTCAGCTGGTCCTTGTGAAGATGATCGTAAGTCAATGTATGTTGTATTAGTTTATATTTAGTATTTGTCTGGCAAGCCACTATTATGGGACCTGTACGTCTGTCTATTCTGTAATAATGTACTTGTAGGCCGATAGTCCATATGAAGGTGGAGTCTTTTCCCTGAAAATACTATTTCCCACAGACTACCCTTTCAAACCCCCTAAGGTAAGCGTTGTATCACTCTCTAGCCATCCTTGTGACAGATCAGTTTCATGACGAAAATATATCATCCGAATATAAATCCCAATGGTAGTATCTGCTTAGATATCCTCCGTGGACAATGGTCACCAGCCCTCACAATATCGAAAGGTATGCATTCGTATATAAATGCTCAATTTGTGTTCAAATTAGTTCTACTCTCGATTTGTTCACTATTGACGGACCCCAATCCAGATGATCCTCTTTGCCCAGATGTCGCACGTCAGTACAAAACAGATCGTAAGAAATACGATGAGTTAGCTCGAGTGTGGACACAGAAATATGCTATGGATCCTTGATACGGCACTACACAAAACATTTCGATAAACGTATTTTCTCCTTTCTTCTTGTACTCATTGATGACGTACGTGTTACATTTAATGTCGGTCGATTTTTTTCAGCCTTCAATTAACCTTACTTTCTTATTCTATTCTTACTGGTTTGTCAGTTCTGCGTTTGTGAAAATGCTCTTAAGGTTGTCGCAAGTATTTCTTCTTTCTTTTCGAACAAGACTTGTGCCGTGTTCAGTGACAGTTGGCGGTACAGATTGGTTCACTCAGACGTTTTCACTTGTTTAAATATTTAATTGTATCAATTCACTTTACGAGAAATTCATTACTTGAGCAATTGCTGCTCGTGATACTCATCATCTAATCTTCTCAGAATTTAGTAATCTGTTTATATTTGACCAAAGCTATTAAAACTTGTGTTTATTCAAGAGATTGTTTTAAGGAAAAGTCTGATTTCATGTTGGGAACAAGACTGCATCAATGAGAGTATCGGATTTTATGGCAGTCTAATCTTGTTGCTCAGTAGTCTGTTTACTCGTGTTGAAGCATCATCTAGTTTAAGGAGTTGTTACTAGAAAACCTTATTTGAAACTTCTGTTTATTGTTAGCATCAGTCCGAAATAGTGTAGTCGCAAGTAAATTTTTGGAATCTTGCACCCATTTTCTCACCTGTTTTATAAACATAAACAACTACTTTCCTCATTTGATAGTACTTTGCCGTCATTGTATATTTTATGTATAGTACTGTCAACCGATACAGTTCGTAATTTTTGTTACTGTGCAGTTACAACATCGTTTTTCACCCTTCAATGTAGTCATTTCTACTCAATACACAATTGGATCTGATACTTATGGTAATGTAAGCAATTTGTAACAGTCTTCCGAGTTGATGCACACCATTTGAGATGTGATTTCTAAACTCGAATCGATTGTTTGTTGAGATCAGAATCCACAAGTTCGAATTTTACTCGTTGGTCCGCATATCTAGAACTGGTTATCATTATGCTGCCTATGTATAGCTTTAACGGTCTTGCTTGACAATTTAATTCAGGACAGGCTTTGGTTTTCTGATAATTATCTTGCCCATTTCTTCACGCGAACTCTTGGTACTTTCGTTTTTGAAGTAAGCATAGATAGAACTTCCAGTACACTTGAAATTACGTTAATGGATACTGTTGGTTATTAATAATATAGTTGTGGACAAGAGAACCATGTAGTGTGCATTTCCGAGCCTTACTAAGTCCTGTCATACTGCTAATAGTTAGATTTTAGCGATCTAGCGATGCTATAATGCGAGTTGGATGTCAGCACGAATGGAAGAACTTATTGTGGGTAGTGAGAACGCTAACGGCACATTGATGTTTAGGAAATAATTCTGTCTTAGCATGAGGTCGTTTGTAATTTCCGAATTGAAATATATATTTTATGCAATCCAAGGGAGTTTGTTTTGCTTATGCTTTTTCGAAATTTAGGGATTATGAGCTACTGTCATGCGGTAATTCATTCACGAAAATAGCCGTTATTTTAAAGATTTAACCGTAATTAGAGTGCGACCACCCATAAGTCATGTGTCTGGAGGAAGTAATTTCCTTGAAAATCTGTAACCTACGCGTGCCCTCTACTCCATAAGATCGTTTTATAACTATAAACTGTGCAGAGGACTAATGAGGAATATGCTTGTCCTTTGGTTAACAGACGTTTTACTCGCCTACACGAAGTCTAGCCAACTTTTCTGAATCCTTGCCATGATTGTCATATAACATATAACATACAACAACCGACCATGGTTCATGAGACTCCTGAGATAAGTAATGTATGTATGTTTCACATATGCATATTTGACCGGAATAATAGCTTTATAGTGAAGAAATTTTCAGCAATATGATTAGAATGAGTAAATTTATGGTACCTCAAAGTAACGGTAATTTTGTCACTGAAGTAAGGTTTGTATTTCCAAGTTATATTGTTGGTGCACCGAAAAGTGTGATGAGATTCTACCACATCCTGACACTTGTTAAAGCACAGTCAGTCTATTCTTCGAACTTTGGTAGCGTAAATTAAGAAGACAGTTTGATCCAACAATAAATATTATTTATTTGCCTAATGCACTCTGAATAACAATCTGGTTATATTTATTTACAATTGATTGATCACTGGGTAGTGACCAGTGTTATGTGAGTCAATTCTTTCTGGTTAAATGTGGTCACTAGTGTAAGTGATTCGACATCGCGTGCATTATGTTAAGACAGGATGGTGTTTAGAGGTAGTCGTCAGGAGACGCTATACTTAGGTTTTGTGATGCCTGGTACTCTTCAACAAGGTGTAACTTTAATGTTGAAGAAAGTCACCGGCAGCCTGAATAACGTGGTGCTAACGTCGTTGATTGTGAGCTTGGTTGTAACTCGGGATCGGATGTGCTAGGGAGTATCAGTCCCTTCAAGATTGAAGACACACTTCTCGAGTTGAGTATTTATCGGCACTTGCTTTTGGTGCATTGGTCAGTGGTTTGTGATCCGTAAAAACAGTGCATCACGTTTGACAGACGTTGGTATTTCTAACGTAACTAATGATGGTAATTCTGTCCACTGATTGGAGTTTTAGTTCTATAAAAAGACAACCTTTAGTTGACAGTGGAAACGTTCTATCATTCCATTAGCCTGAGGGTGATATGCAGTGATGCGTATTCTATTGGAGCCTAGAAGTTTAGCTAAGTTGTTAAATAGGTTGGATTCAAATTGTGCTCCTCTATCCGTCGTTATTGTTATAGGTGTACCAAAACTGGTCACGCAGTTTTGCATGAAGGCCTTAGCCATTGTTTCAACTGTGATGTCCGTTATCGGTATGGCTATAGGTAGTTTTGTGGATCGGTCTATACTTGTAAACAGATAATTAAAACCGTTCGAAGGCGGTAAAGAGCCTACCAAATCTATATGCATGTAGGCGAAACGTGCATCTGGCCATGAGAAAATGCCGATGGATGGATTGTGTGACGGTTAATTTTGGACTGTTGACATGCCAAACACTTTAACCCATTTTTGTACATCCTTGTGCGAATTTCGTCAAGTAAGTGCAATGTGCTATCATTGTGAACAACGGAGAGAGAGAGACAGTTGTATGATGTCGATAAAATGAGGTTTTATATCATTCTAAGCATTGAAGTTGATTTACCAGGTTATGGGATCCAAGTTTAGGACAAATTATATTTGTGCACATTGTCTTATAATCCATAAACATCAAAGAAAAGAAGAAAGATACAAAAACATCAACAACAAAATACAATTCGAATGATCTAAGAAGAACTGTTCATAATCTCTCTAACAGAAACTTAAACTGTCACGAAATCACTCTATTAGTGATGGGATTAAATTTCAATTTACACAGGAAACCACTTAGCACTCTTGAAATTGCTCCAATTATAGAACCAATGATCCAACAACTACCGGAAAAAGAGTCGCATTTACTACGTCAAAAGACATCCCATATTCTGACTAAACAAAAACACTTTTTATAGGTACTATTTAAACTTGGATTAATTTTAATTTGGTTATTTATTCTCTGAAGAAGTGACTTACACCAAGTCACGAAACGTCAGAAAATCCAATTTTCTACTCATTGGTATATTACAAATATATTATTTTTATTTATAACAATGAACCCAGTGCTCAATTTATTCGAAATTATCAAATCAAACCTTGGTAATGACACCTATGTACAGACTATTGTTAATTCATTGTTTATATACTCTATAATTTATTTTGAACTTTACTCGAGTAGACAATATGTGGTATTTTTATGAACTAGCGATTCCCTTGTTCTTGTTGAATGCTTGATTTTGAATTCTAAATACAGAATATTCGTTCGTGCGTATCTAGTACTTGTTGATTAAATTGCGTTATTTCCGGGATTCAGTCAATATGCAAAACAACTGTTCGTTTTACTTCAAGTAGTACTAAATCTTGTAATTTAGATCTCAACAATTCGGTTGTTCCTAATGATCATGTGTCTTTATCCACCGTTGCGAAAGGTGATGCTCATATTCATTTCATGACTTTATTGTGGACACGGGCAGTATCGAGTCCTTTATTTCATTAAAGAACTTGAAATCTTTAGATCCTAACGTTGTGATGCGACCCACTGAAGTCTCAATATTAAGAATTACTGGACACAGACTGCCCGCACGAGGATGCTGCGGATTGCTAATAAGATGATAATTTTTCATTCATGCCTTCTCAGTTATTAGTTAGCGAAACAGGACTACTAATACTGGGTTTAAAAATCCTGAAAAAGGCTTAAAGTAAAGTTGAATTTACTAGTTTCTAGAAATAAATCTGATGCCTTGCTTAAATATTTGATTACTGGGTGTGCTAAGTGCAGTAGAGGTATAAAAATTCAGCCTATAAAAGTACAGGGTGATCTAGTCTTTCTTAAAAGACGAATAGTTCCTTATGGTCTTCGAGAAGCAGTACATATGATATTGAACGATTTGTGTGCGAAAGGTATAATTGAGTCGATTCAGTTTTGAGCTTGGGGTACTCCTATTGTTACGTTATTGAACTGAGATGGCAAGACCCCTAGAATATGTGGTCACCATAGATTAACACTGAATCCTCGTTTGTTGAAGCAGACATGCACGACGGTAGAGGCTGAAGATATTCTAAAACGACTTCATGGTTCTAAAGTGTTCTCTTCTTTTAATTGACAATATTACAGTGAATCCAAATAGGTGTTCATTTTGTGTATCTACTTTCAAATGTCTTGAATACCTAGTTGATGGTGATAGTTTTAGACCAGATATGTAACGACTAGCTCCACCGACAAATGCACCGTCTCCAAGGAACATTACAGGGCTGCGTTCACTGATGGGTGCTCTTTGTTCCTAATGTTTTTTGTCGTGACAATTATTTAATATTTCGACATACAATTCATTTAAATGGGGTGAGGAACAAGAGTCATGCTTACGAAGTCTACTAAGGTTTCTTCAGTGATACTGTTCTTCGAACGTACTCCTC